CAAGTTCTGAGATATGGAAATGTATCATATCTGTTATATGATTATTCATATTTTTAAATGTGGAAGGGTGAAATATAGAATATGAAGAAGACACAAAATCAACAGGCAGCATTACCATTGAATAGTCAATGGTTTACTCAAGAAAAACATGTGAGGTTATAGGAATAGTGCATTTTCCTACCAATTGGATTTTGGTATAAACATAAGTACAGGATTCATTTTAGATTATCTGACGGTAACTTTATTGTTATAAAGTGAATATGTATATCAGATAAAATGTATATTTTTTTCCACCACACCTCTTAAAATGTTTAAAAACTATACTGTTTTTGATAGGAAAAAATATATGGTGTGTTCTATGCATATCATTTTTTTCCTGGTTGATGCATGAATATATCCCAGGACTAATGCATAATAGGTTTTATGCAAATTTAAACAGAAAAAAATAAGTTATGTTTTAAATATACATGGAATCTAATATTCATGTACAAGCAGTACAAGCATGGATTCAAAATGGCTCTAAGTTTTGTGGTAATATTAGGTTTAGTATTGCATAATGAGCTTGTTTGAGTTTTGCTAAGAGATCATATATGTTTATCAAAATTAGGTATGCATAAAAGAATGTTCACATCAAAATGAGTAGTAAAATATGTGTGAATACATGTATTCTGAAACAGGAATTAATATAACACAATAATATGTATATACATTTTTGAACATGAGATTCAATGGATATATTCCAGTGACACCATCACAGCTGGATATCTTTTAATGTGATCTGAAAGACATTTTTTTTCTATTTTCCAAAGTGCCTGGGATAGCACAGCTGAATCCTCTTCCTAGAGATGAACTATGGCCACTGGAAACTGAATGTCTCTGTGTGTGCAGTGTGAAGCCATTGGGATATCCTCATGGTTTCGCTGGAGTTCTAACTCCATCATAGAAAAATTGGTATTTGCTTTAAGAAGAATAGGAAGGTCAAATGGGACATGGTGCTGGAGGGAGTGACATCACAGGTGGTGAATTATGCTCTTCAGGAGAAAACACCAACCTGAAGCTATCTGATACATGTTTCTTCTTTCAGACTAGAAACCAGATTCTCAGCATAGCCCCCAAACAATACCCATAATAGGATGCCCTAACATATGGTGGTCTGCTGGCTGCATAATGTCAGAAACGTGCTGTTTGGAAGCCAATGCCAGACATACGTGGCCTTGGCACATATTTCTTGGCACACACCTACTCTCTTCTTCGCCAGGTAAGTCATCAGTTGACTCAAACTCACTGGATCTGTTATCTTCAGCATTTTCATGAGTTATAATCAATGAAGTCCCACTCTGATTCTGTCATAATAAGAATTTGTAAGGTGCTCCAGAGGTTCTAGGTCATGGGAATCAGATAATTTTAAGGATGTAGGTGCACCCATATTTCAACAATGAAGTAGGGTTTTGGCTGAGACAACAGCCAAGAAGTGGTGAGAGATCTCCTTTAGCTGTAACATCAATAGAACTCATGTAGGGAGGGCTTTTCACATCATGGCCAAGAGGCCACATACAGCTAGTTGGATGGTTCAAACGTGGGAGGAACAACTTTTCTTCAGGCTGTCAACTTTGTTGCCCAAGGCTGTATAGAGAATAATGTGTTAAATCATCACTGAGATTCCTATAGTGGTAGAGAAGTTCACTCTGGTCCTTCCTCTCATTTCCCAAGGTCACCTCTAATGCTTGGGTTCCTTAAATGAAACATAATTCACTGCAATCCTTCTTGTGTAAGCCCCAGAACACAGGTCTCTGCTGAGATTCACACCACTGTTACATCTGAGTTTTTTTACCAAGCTATCCCTTAAAACCACCATACAAATCACCACAATTCATACAAGAACCCTCCGAAATGGCCCAGAGTCCCCTCATCTTCTTCCTGGTAAACTCATTCTAAAAACCTGGCATGAGGTATCCATACCTACACAACACCAGGATTGTTTTAAATGAAATTACTCATGCCCCTCATTTGCCTAAATTTGTCGTGGGCTAGATACCTTTTCTGAGAACAAGAAGAGTTGAAATGGGTCCAGAGTTTATACTGCATTTCAATCCAAATTAGATCCCTAGTGAATGCCAATGGTATTTTTTTCTTATGTGAATTTGAGCTAGAAAGAAAGCAAATACCTATGCCCTAGCTGCTTGAAGGAAAGGACTAACACATTGGACCTAAAGGATCATTGTTCTATATTCATGAATGTTTGAAATATGACATGATTCAATTGAGAGTTTCCATCTAAATTTTTTTCTTAAATAATATAACTTTTGGATGAATAAAAATATATATATATATAATAATTTTAAGTGATGGTGAGGATATCAACAGGTACCTCAAACAGGTGAGTAAAGGGCTTTAGCACTGAGTAACAAATGTAGTCCATTCAAACAAATTACTAAAGTGATTGTCCTGAGGCTTCATAAGAGAACCCTGAGACAAAGAACTTTTTCACCTGAAGAGAGAACAATAGCAAATAACAAAAGCTCTGGACAGAGTTTTTTACAGGACCAAAGATAGGACAATGAATTTCTTCTATTGCTCATTCTGCTTGGATATCTATGTATCAAGGCAGAGTTATCATCTGAAAACCTTACATTCCACAGTTATTTCTGAGTTTCACAGTGATGCTCATGAGCCACCTCATGAAGTCCATACATAGCTTTCAGAGGGCTTAGAGCTGGTCAACAACTTTTACACAAATCTACCAGCACCTCTCTGTAGTGGCCAAATTTCAGTAGGAAGACATGAAAAAATAAACATAGCAGGTCTTTCCCATCCACAAGGCAAGCAGCTGTCCATGCATTAATTTGCCAGTGTTAGTGTTGGTAATGTTTTCACTAGACAGGATACATCCACTGTCACATTCTTTTTCTTCTTCCTAGGATGACACATGTAAAGGGATATGTCAACACAGAAATTGTACCTTTCAGCAAAATGACTCACCATAATACATTCAAATAGCAGTGAAAGAAATGATTTTTCCTTCATACTTTCAGGCAATGAGAGACAAAACCAGAAATCAAAACACAAATCCCCAAACACACACACACACACACACACAAAGCCCTGAAAAGAGCATGTGTCCGTCCTCAGTGTCATCTGACTGGTGTGTTAAACTATGTTCACCTGTAATAGCCTCTACTGTCTCAGCTCTAGTGTCCTTGGGAAAATTCACCAGAGTTTTCAGGACACAGTCATGATCCTGTGCCTTTATTTTCAGGGAAGGCCCCTCCTCAGTGCTTTCATGACATTTGGCCATCCACCGATCAGTAGATGCCAAGAAAGTAGGACTCTGTATTTGGTGAGGCCAAACAAGTGAGAAGACTGGGCCTGTGTCTGCCTCTGGTGCCTAGCTACCTGAATTCTTGGTTTAGAATGTTTCATCACCAAGGTAGTGCGGTGAGGTCACTGAAATGAATAAAATGAGAATAGATCATTTCCTTGGAAACCACGTGCTTTTACCTGGTGTTTCAAAGGGCCCCTTGAGAAGGAGGCTGCACACATCTTTCTGTGACATTTTCCAAAGTTTACAAAGTTACACAAACACACCCAGGATCAGGTATCCAAACAGACCTGGTTGTATCCGTCTTTCCTGGATTGAGAAGATAAGAGCTACATTCAGATTCATCGCCTCATTCTGACTATGTTCTTTGTCCTGGAAGTCATCCTCTCTGGGCCTACAGAGCTGCCTTCATATTCCCTGGGAATCATTCTGGCATCTACCTTTGAGGTTCTCAGCAGGTATATGATCTTTTATATGCCTCTACCTCAACATCAACTCTATATATGCTTTTCTGTGCAATTCAATTGAGGTAATAGAATAAGTTTAAGGTTAACATGACATTTTGAGTTGGGTGAGGAGTCATTCTAGAGGAAGAATATCAGTATTGGTAAACATGAATATTCATGAGAATGTATCAGTGAAAAAAAATTAGACCAAAAAATAAAATCATGTATGAACTGAATCACAGAAGAACATTATGTCAGGAATTTGGGTACATAT